ACCTACAGCAGTGTCCAAGCTGTGGCCCATGCCTTGCACGCTGCGTATTCATCCCAATCTCAACAGAGGAGGATGGCGGGTGGACAAGAAATGCCTCAACCTCAAAAGTTGAAGCCGTGGCAGGTATTCCATTTTTCTTCGGAAACACCTCTGTTGTGAGCAATACCCTTCTTTTCTTTCCCTTGGCTCCAAAACAGGAGACAGTCTGTTTCAGGGCAGATCGGTATGGGCACCTGACAGGTCACAAAACAATGAAACTCTAACAGCTGGCTAGCCTCTGCTCATGTATGGAATATGTGAGTGTGGGACCTCGTCTGGATGCTTCCTCCCAGTCCAGTTTTTTCACTGATGCTGTTGTTTCTACTTGCCTTTCTCTTTTGTGTAGCCCAGGCCACCTCTCTACCTTCTACTTTCTTAGCAAACTTTTTCAACAGGGTCCACTAAGTTGGATCATGTGTCCTAGCTGGGAGGGCTGAGCTTGGCCCCTGGGTGAGTTTGGTCCAACAATGTTGCGTCCAAGAGGGACCTCTCTAACTTCTTTGACAAAATGACTGTCCCATACACTGGGAGCAGAGGGGATTTCCATCGGCCCGGAAGAGAAGCACCCAAGCAAGGAGGGCAAATTGTTGAAGTGCTTTTGTAGTCGCTGAATGCTGCTTATTTCCTCTGTCATTCTAGTTTCATGCTCCCTTGAGTGATGGACAACTTCTGAACATTTCCACAGAGAGACAGTCTTTGGATGAGAATCAAGAGCTGGTGCCTGACTTTGATATCGTGAACTGGGTGCTCTTTCCCAACCATACTAATGGAAGGGTGAATGTTGGGAGTGTGAAGAGAAAGGGGACCGGTGATGCAGAGCTCACCATCCACCCAGAAACCATTGTGTGGCCCAAGAGATTCAATGGGGTAGGGGAAAGTACTTTCTTCAGTCTGTTGACTATTTCCTGCTCACATTGTATAGTGCTACTTTATGCACAATTGTCTTGCAGGCAGCAATACCAAATTTCATCAATACAAGTATAAAAATACATCAGAAAGACAGGAAGGAAATAAACACTAAATACAAAAAAAAAAAAAAGTAGGAAGAAAATGGAGAAAACAGCTAGTGCACACCTCCACCGGGACATTATCTGCAGAGTAATTATTCATTCATTTCCTCCTTGTATATCTCTTCTCCTAAAGTTCCTCTCTATCAGAAGGTTTAATACCATTCCCTTTTGCAATAGCATCTCCAAATGACCTTTTCCCCATCCTCGTGAGGTGTAACCCGTCCTTTGCCAGAAGTCCATTGGCAAGAAACCGAGTGCCACAGCCAAGGAACCCGAAGCGTTCCTTCTGGCACCACACCCTAAGCCAGTCGTTCACCTCGGAGGCCCTCCTGTCCCTTCCTGGCCAAATCCCCAAACTGGCAAGATTGACGAGAAGGCCACTTGGGCCTTCAGCTCCCTGAGTTTCTTCCCCAAGGCCTCAAAGTCCCTGGTGGTCCCAACCACACCCTGCCTGGCCACATCGTTTGTGCCCACATGGATCACCAGAAGTGACTGGTGACCCCCGGAGTGAACAAGATGCTCCACTCTGTCCATCACATGCCAGATGCATGCGCCCAGCAGGCAGCAAACCTCCCTTGTCTCCAGGTTGGGGCGGCACACCGCCGGCTCAGTGACCCTCAGCAGGGAGTCCCCAACAACAATCACCTGCCGCCGTACCTTCCCGGTGCTGATGGGCGGCCGTGCCCTGGCCCTTGCCTCTCCTGCAGCAGCCCCCTTGCCACCTGATGTCTCAGGCTGGGGGTCCTGCTGGTCCCCCGAGGCCTCATCAGCCCCAGCCTCCCCAAGTGGAGACAACCTGTTTCCCAGCTCTAGATTGGTGCCAGGAGAAGGAGGAGGCCATGCTGGCCTCCTCCTCCTGTGGGTGACATACCTCCATGTCTCCGCAGCTGCTCCTCCCATGACCTCTCCCTGAACCCTCTGTCCAGAGGGGGGCTGCTCCGGGGGTGGCCTGGAGAGCTCTCTTGGCCCTCAGGCACCTCACATCCGCTTCCAGCAGGGTCACCATCTTGCACCAAGAGCAAGTGTATTCCTCCCTCTCCTGGGGGAGAAGGGCGAACATGTTGCAGCTGTCGCAGCGGACAGCTACACCTGTGACTCCTGCCAGGTCCATCTCCTGGTCTGCCATCAGTATCCCTTCTGAGACCTTACCTTGGTCCCCTGCCTTGTCTGTTCTGCAGTTCCTCTCACTCGCCCAGTTCTCCCTGATGAAAACCCACTCACACACACACACACAAGAATAAAATAAACTTAAATTTAAATTGGAAGAAAAACAAAGCACAGCACAGCACAGCACAGCACAAAGCAAACGAACGAACAATCAAACCTCTGTGTCTCAGGGAAGGGAGTCTCTGGACAGCCTGGGCCACAGCTAAGAGACGCAGACAAGGGACAATGCCCCACCCCTCTGTTTTCTCCTGGCTGCTTTAGCCTCTCTGGCCCCACCCCCTTCCTCTCTGCTGCTCCTGGCCCTCTGCTCCGCTGCCCAGCTCCTACCTTGCCTTCGCCAGTCCCCTGGTCACTCCGTGCTCTCTCCCAGCCTCTGCCTCTGCTGCTCCACTGCTCTGCCAAGAGGCCAGAAACAAAAGCCATATATGAGCCTAAACGTAGCTCTGAGCCAGTAACACAGAATGGCAATGTGGTTGGTATACCAGTCTTCTTATTCCCTCTGGAATCCCTGACGGAGATGGTAGAAGAGGTCCCTAACATATTCCTGTTGAAGGTGGAATATGGGAGACTTTCTTGACTCCAAAAATAAGTAATCCTAGAATCCTGGAATGGTAGTGCAAGAAGTGTCCAGAAGGACGAGGAATTCAACCCCATATTCAACACAGGGCTCCAAGATGTTCATGTTGTTGAACATGTAGTTTCTGAACTACCCAGAAACTTTGACCACCCTTCTATCAAATTTGGAACACTGCCAAAGAATTCCAGCATCCACTGATGATTCATTTCCATGGGGACCATCCAATACAAAACATTTTCTTGTGCTACATTTCTTTATTGCCAGACAGTGCCTCATTCCAGGTGTGTCGAGAGCTGCTGCCCTGGATATGCCAAGAAGATCCAGGATGGAGAACCCCCATGCTGCTACGTTTGCACTCTGTGCGCTGAAGGGACCATCTCCACGCAGCATGGTGGGTCACATCAGATGTGAGCATTCCCTTGGGAAGGAAATCAGTGATTCAATAGTCTCTCCAATTCCTGCTTGATCCTTCCTTTTGTTCCTTTAAACACCTTTCCTGAACTACGTGCATTCATGACAGTATAAAGTAAGAAGGCCTTCCCACTTCACACACACAATGAAAACAGAATGGGATAGAGACTTTCTTGAATCTCTCCTGTCTCCTGAGTGATGGACACAGATAGTTCTCTGTATACAAGGTCTTCTTGACTCAGGTGCCTGAAATGCTTCTCTGCTGAGGAGGAGGCTTTGGGTTGAAAATGCTACTGCTAAAGCAGGACTTTCACCAGGGAACTTTTTCTCCTGCCCATACTGCACAACGGCTGGGTTTCTGCGGCAAGATAAACAACCCAACACGATTACCATGGTTCAATATTTTTGCCATGCTCTAATTTCTAGATGATCAAATGGTCTCTACCTGATTGTGGTTTACATCATCCCCACTCAATCCTGCCACAGGTGGAAAAGTCCCATCAGCACTGGTTCTGACGTTCCATCCCAGGATGTGTCTCTCTCATTCTACTCCGCTTGCTCTTCCTCATCAGTGCACACAGAGAGAGTGGGTGACTGGAGTAACTCCTGTAGTTGCCAAACTAATAGCAGGGGTAAGACAGACCAAGCACAGCACACCAACTCGGGCCCATTTGCAATGACTGCCAATATGCTTCTAAGCCCAATTCCTGGTGCTGTTTTTGCAGTATAGGTGCCTGCATGATATAGCATCACAATAGGGATATCTGAGGAATCTGTGTTGTGATTAAATTTTGTCAGAATCCCTGAGTTTAGCTTAGTAGACTCTGGTCTTCCATACGTTACCCACAGTTCATGTTCTGGGCAAGTGTGCCCCTTGTGCATGGGATACCTGGCAGAAATGGAGACCCATAAGAAATAGCATTCTTTTGCAGTGAGCATGAAGAACCTTAGATGCCAGAAGAGCTAATCAAGTGGAGAAATCATTAGAAAACAAGTTTGTGTTTTACCTCCAGTTTTATGAAAATTAATTGAGTAAGAACATTGTAACAGTGATAAGAGTGGGAGTGGGAGAATGTTGTGGTTAACAGGTCCAGCATTTTTAGCATTGCACATCCTTGGGAATTTTGAGAAACGAGATGGAATGCTATGCAAGAAATTCTTTGAAGTGTAGCTAAGCTGTTCTATCAGTAAGACCCTCATTAGGAAAGTTTCCCCTGGGAAAAAGGAGAGATGTCTTGATCTGATGAGTCCTTATGACCAGATATGAGAAAACTGACTGATCTACAGCAATGACTATTAGCAATGCAGAAGTCACTCTCTACCTCTGTTTTCTTTAGATGCACACCATTGCACCAAGTGTCCAGAAGATCAGCACCCAAACAAGGCCCGAGATCAATGCGTCCTGAAGATTATAACCTTCTTGTCCTATGGAGAACCTTTGGGGATCATCCTGGCTTCCCTTGCACTGTTCTTGTCTTCAGCCACAGCCTGTGCATTAGGGATTTTTGTGAAATACAAAGAAACACCAGTCGTTAAGGCCAACAATAGGGACCTGTCCTACATTCTCCTCCTCTCTCTCCTGCTCTCCTTTATGTCTGCAATCCTCTTCATTGGCCGCCCAAGGAAAGTGTCCTGCCTCTTCCGACAGACAGCTTTCAGCATCATCTTCTCGGTTGCTGTCTCTTCTGTCCTTGCCAAAACCATCACTGTGGTGCTGGCCTTCCTGGCCACCAAGCCAGGCAACAGTGTGAGAAGGTGGCTGGGAAAAAGCATGGCCAATGGCATTGTTGTTTCCTGTTCCAGCCTTCAAATCCTTATTTGCATCCTCTGGCTAGGCATGGCTCCCCCTTTCCCAGATTCTAACATGCACTCCCAAGCTGAACAGATCATCCTGCAGTGCAATGAAGGGTCTCTCACAATGTTCTACACTGCCCTTGGCTACATGGGTTTCCTGGCTGCCGTCTGTTTCTTGGTGGCTTTCCTGGCCAGGAAGCTTCCTGGGTCCTTCAATGAGGCCAAGCTGATCACCTTCAGCATGCTGGTCTTCTGCAGTGTCTGGGTGTCCTTTGTGCCCTCCTACCTGAGCACCAAGGGCAAGTACATGGTGGCCGTGCAGATCTTCTCCATCTTGGCCTCCATTGCTGGGCTGTTGGGCTGCATCTTCCTTCCCAAGTGTTACATTGTTGTATTCCGGCCTGAACTGAACACAAAGGAGCACCTTGTGATGAAAACCAAAGATGGCA